CCCATCAGTTACAGGCAGCAACTTGTGGCTTGGGAGCAATTACGTCAGAAGGGGTTTGGCTGCTGATGCTGGCACAAGGGGGCCATGGTTGGAGTTTCAGCTTCATGAAGCAATTACTAAACCCTCTGGAAAATGCAGCTAGGAAAGGTCCTATATGAGCAGCCTTCATCTGGCAGCAGCTAAGGCTTGAGTGCAAAGAAAGGCATGGGCAAACCCAAAGCAGGCAGCAGAAGAGGGAATTTCTTGGAAGGGAATTGCCTCCCACTGTGGATGCTGTCCCGTGACACAAGAGACATCGGTACAGGGAAGGAGCATGGCAGTTGCGGTCTCCTGACTGAGCACACCAGATGCACAACTGCCAGGAGCCTATTAAATATTGAAGAGCAAGCATTCACCAGGCAGTGGAAACACAACATATTGATTGACTCATTTTGTTGCTCCTAGGAGAAGGGCTTTGTGATATGACTTGCAAAAACAATATGCTTTTCCCTCCTGTTTACTGCAAAGGAAAGTCACAGAAGGAGACTCTAGTGCAAGAGCAGAGCCACGATAACCACCCCATGGGCTTTGACCCAGTGTGTTGTGGTTTTACTCAGGTGGGCAGCTGAGCTCCACCACAACTGCTCTCCCACTCCCCCTCCTCAAAGGGGTTGTAAGGACAGGGAGATCACTCAACAATTATTGTCACAGGCAAAACAGACTCAACATAGGGAGATTAATGTAGTTTATTACCTATTACTTACATGTACAGGCTAGAGAGGTGAGAAACAAAAATAAACTAAAAACACCTTCTCCCCCAACCACCCTCTTCCACCTCCTCCCCCCAAGCGGTGCAAGGGAATAGGCAAATGGGGACTGTGGTCTCCACCACTCCTTCACGGTCACTCTCTGCCCCTGCTCCATGTGGGGTCCCTCCCATGGGATGCCGTCCTTCCCTGAACTGATCCTGCGGGGGCTGCCCACAGGCAGCAGCTCTTCAAGAACTGCTCCCACATGGCTCCGTCCCACGGGATCCATCCATCCCCCAGGAGCAAACTGCTCCAGCACGGGTTCCCCATGGGTGGCAGCTCCCCCCACACCTCTCTGCTCCTGCGTGTGCTCCTCTCCATGGGCTGCAGCTCCTGGCTCGGGGCCTGCTCCTGCAGGGGCTCTCCATGGGCCACAGCCTCCTCCAGACCACATCCATCCGCTCCACCGGAGGCTGCTCCACGGGCTGCAGTCTGGAGATCTGCTCCATGTGGGACCCATGGGCTGCAGGGGGACAGCCTGCTCCACCAGGGACCTCTCCCTGCACAGGCACAGGCTGCTGTGTGCCTGGAGCATCTCCTGCCCTCCTGTTGCACTCACCTGGGGGTCTGCAGGGCTGGTTCTTACTCCTTGCTCTCCCAGCTCCTGTTGTGCAACAGGTTTGTTTGTATTTTTTCCCTTTCTTAAATCTGCTCTCCCAGAGGCATAAGCATCATTTTTTGGCCTAGGCTCTGGCCAGCAGCGGGTCCCTTTGGAGCTGGCTGAAACTGGCCCTTATCTAACATGGGGCAGATTCTGGAATCTTCTCACAGAGGCTACTCCTTCAGCCCCCTGCTACCCAAACCTTGCCACATAAACCCAATACAAAGTGATGCCCTGAGCTTCTTACAGATTGCTTTTGGCAGTTCCACAGATATCGAGTGCTCCCTGTGTGCAAACAAAAGCTTTGACCTTCACTTGGGGGCTGTAAATGACCTGCTGTTAATATCATAACATCTGCATGGCAGACAGAAGCAGTGTATACCTTTTCCCTCCTTAGGATACCATAGAGACTGAGGATCTTTCACAATGGGAACTGGGTCCCTTGATTACAGTTTATTCCCTGGGTGTCTAAGCAACTGTTTGCTGCAATTGGACCTTGACCTTCAGGAGGGTTCACAACCCGATGTGGGAGAAACATTTTATTCCAAACCATTCAGTTCAATCAAGGAGCTTTTCATTTGGCTAGAAATAACAGCTTTTATCGCCAGCTGGTCAGTAAATGAATTATCACAAAAATATAATTACAGTATGCCAGTAATGGGTTGAAGCCATTATCAAATTTCACCACTTCAGAACACTAATTTTTATGCAGGTGCAATAAATAATAAGCACTGTTTTACTGAACATCTTTTGGCTTTAGCAGTAGTGGAGTAATTTATTTTTTAACATACACCTGAATTTAATCAAAACCACACTCTAGCTTGTACTCTTTCCATTGGATGACATACATTTACCTAAAAAAACATACTGTAGGTTTGCATTCTTACATTTGGCTACAAGATAAATCTTGGCAGTCAGCCTGATAGTTAAAAACTTGATTCTAATATTCTGTTCTTAAGCCTTTAAAAATTAATGTTAATGTTGAATCATTCTTTAAGTTAGAATTTGCATCATTTTCTAACATTTCCTTGAATATTAGAGAGAAACTACTTCATACTATACCGGGAGAACCCTCTTTTCAAAGAGATAAAAGATGGGCCTAAAGACCATCTGCAGTGTTATCTTCTACACTTTTTGGATGGTTCCTCCAGACTATAGGACATTTAATGCCTGGGAGGTATTCTTACAGCCAACATCTGCCCCTTTCTTATTATGTATGATTACATAGTCTCTTCTATTTTCCTCTCATCTCTTCATTCTGTTCATTAAACACAAATAGTTTTCGTTTTGTAATTGTCAGATTCATTGTCTGAATTCTCTTTTTGGTCAGCCTCAGAACATACTTCTTATATTTATTCCAATGCATAGTGTGTAGTAGTTACAATGAGGTTTGAGGATTTGGAAATGTTTACAAAAGTAGCATTAGTGCTCACTGGAGCAATAGTAGCTCTCACCACTGTGAATTTAACCTCAAGTTCTTGAAACCAAGTTAAGAAAGACTTTCTTGTCCTTTTTTTTTGTTTGTTTTTGTTTTTGTTTTAGGAATATTAATACTTTTTTCTTCAGAATTGTTAAATTCAGAAAACAGTTATTCACATGTATTGCATATGTTTGATTTTTGTTTTTGTTTTCTTTTTTTTTTCATAAATTACACATCTACAAAACTTCAATTTTATAAAATGTTTCCTTTATTTTTCTATATGAATGCTGTCATGTTCAAACAGAGTAATTTGCTACTATTCTTTGTGTATCTAAATGACAGACTTTTCCTTTTGTGCACAAGCCTTTTTGCACTACCTTGCATCCTTCAAGTGAAAACCAATGTTGTGCATGTAGTTTCTCTTGTTTGTTTGTTGTTTTTGTTTTGTTTTTTTTATCTAGAGTAAAAAAATTCAATGGCCTCCATCGTTGCCATAGACCACTAAATAGGACAAATATAGGACAAATCTTCCTGTTTTTCTTAAATGCCCCCCCCCTTTTTTTTTTTATCTGAATGGCTCTCAATGTTTTAATGCTTTTTCATTTGTTTGTTTGTTTTTGTTGTTGTTTTTCAAGTTATGCCATTGAAAGGAAAAACAAAACAAAACAAAACCTTCCTTATTTATGTCTGCCAAAAATATTTCTATTCTGATGTGGACAAATATCCTCTGGATTAGTGAATTAGTGAATTCTCTCATTTTGGAGAAAGTCAGACCTAAGACCAGGTTAACCTAGTCAGGATCAGTAGAAAAGAGGAAAGAAAAGCTCACATTTTTATTGTAGCAAAATATTCCTCACTTTTTACCCAGAAGTCACCTAAGATTTCTGAACATCTTTTCCATCACCACCTCTCTGAGTGACAGTAGCCTGATGCAAAGTAGGTGGCTTTTCACAGCATTGAAAAGCAACCTCAAAGCTGAGGCAGTAACTGGGCTCACATCATTGTGTACCCACAAGCCAAGATTTGGGGTTGCAGTGTAGTAAATGTGTGGCGAAGTAGTGACGGGGAGGATATTGTGATGGCATGAAGGCACCCTTCACTGTTCCTTTCTCCAGGTCCACTACTCCCATGGGCTTCTCTTCCCTACATATCTTTTTATATAAACTCCTCCTCATGTCATATTCAGCTTTTGCAGCATGAGAGGGTGAGCAGAACCAGGGCTGCACCCTTGGAATGAGTAGGGAAAAGGGAGCTGAAAACATTTTTTATTTTGTACCTACTGCTGGCTTGCAAACTCACATCAGTAATACTGAGGAGGCAGAGGAGGGAGGAAAGGATGCCAAAAAGGAGCTGGGGTCCTGTGAAAACTTAATCTGTTTCAGGCAACATTAACTGATTCCTTGCTATAGGTCCCGAGGATTTCCCAGTTGAGGGAGAAAAAGCCAGAGCACACTGCTTCTCCCTTAATAATCCTCTTCCTTCTGTCCGGGGCCAGAGCCAAACTTCAGGCAAAGGAGAAATGATTTTGTCCAGGTTAGAATGAACAACCTCCTGCAAAGCCAGCTGACCTGGCTCCCCTCTATTCCCTTTATGACAATCCTTGTGCTGTGGGTCAGAAACCAATTTTTCTTCAACACTTGCTTTAAGCACTCAGCTTCAATCTGTACAGAAATTGCTTAATGGGATCCACTGACCAGCTATTTTGGTCCACTCTTTCATGCAAGCCAACAGCAGGGTCATAAAAAACCTGCCCGCAGTCACTCATTTAATTGAAAGCTGTGACCTGTTTACTAAGACTACTGCAACCACAATTTTAATTAACCTCTGCACTTTCTGCAACCAACAGGTCACCTATTTTATCTTTGGACAGAATTAAACAGTTCTCATTCCCACCATAACCTGTCCACCCCCAACCCGCACACCTCTGAAAATGTCTTAGCTTTATGAGGTGGCATGAGGGGCCAGTCAGAGCTGGACTGCTAAAATGACTATAGTCTAGGTATATGGGTCACAGTTTCACAGTTTGACATAAGAGCATAAGAGCAATCTTCAATTTTCAATCAATTTCTTATCTACATCTCTTCAGGTTCAGCTCTGAAATTGTATGCCACCTGGAAGTTAAAAAAAAAAAAAAAAAAAAAAAGAACCAACTCAGCCCAAATACAATTCACCTGATTCAGAGACAGAAGACATAAAAAGGGTGGAAAATGTTTGCTTCTCTTCTTCCACCCATTCCTTGAGGGATCAGATGCTGCCTTCTTCTGTTGTCTCCCAGTACTACTTAATGAAACACATCAGGTACCTGTTTCAGCCTCTTTATTTGCCTAGGAAAAAGTAAAAGAAAACCTCACTCCTTTCTCATAGGTTTGAAGGTCCTGATTTTACATTTAAATCATTTCCAGTCTAGTTGCTTTACATTACGGTGTGAAGACTGGGTGCTATACACCATTTACCATCCTTGAAACTAAAATACATGCTACTTTTGAGCCATCAAAACACAAAAAGATATCAGTGACTTTTGGGGGGACCCAGTCCAGCTCTCGTTAAAATCAATGGGAATTTTCCAGTCCAATTTTGATGGGGGGTGGATCAGACCTCCCAGAGTGTAAAAATTACAATTTTCATGGTTGGATGGTTCCAACATAAGCAGATTTGATTCAGCTTTTGAAAATGATACAGTCCTGGACTGCAAATATGAAATTATTATGTAGATAGTCAGATAAGAGACTCTGAAGCTTAAACAAAAGATCTCTTCAGACTTTTTTTGTGCATTTCAAGCAAAATAACTAAATAAGCCACTAAATGCAGTATCTGCTAGAGTGTTTCAGGGAAAATAACTTTTTTTGGTATAGCTAATAATGAGTCAAACCAGATGACACTGCTAATTAAAAATGAACATTGATCTTAACTACCATGAGCTGGATGACTTTTAGACCTCCTTCTGAATGGATCAAAACATTTCTATCCCAGTGGACACAAAGCAGACATATCCTGAAAAGGGCCAGTCTGTCCCTGCTCCATCACCCTTGATGGGGACAGAGCTTGTCTCCAGCAATAAAATGATATCTTCTCCCCAGGTTTGGAAGGAGCTACAGCTCCAGGCTGGGCTTCCCCAAGAAGGTGGCTCTGCCCCATATGGGGCAAAGGAGGTGATGGGCAGGGCAGAGCCGCTTCCCAGTGTGCCAGGACTGTAGCTCCTTTCTTTGGTCTTCTTATTCTCCCTATTATCCCCCTTCTTAGGGGCACCCAGGTATTTCTCATTTGATCTTGTCCATTTTCCCAAACATATAAGTTGTCCGAGAGTTGCTTAGGCCACCTGAGAGCACATGTGGCCCTTTGGTTCAGCTGCATTCCATCAAGGCAAGGAAATAGCTGTGACTGAGGAGAGGATTTGGGGGATGGGATATGAAGGAGAACATCCAGTGGCTTGTTCCAAACCTGATTAGAATTTCTTAACAAAAGATAAAAGTTCCTTAATAATTCCTCAAGGTTAAGAGGTTCACGTTTTACTCCCATGTGCTCTGACCTTCCCTAATTGGCATGCTGTTGGTATTTCACGTCTGAAATATGAATAAGCTATTCATTATCATCATAGCCATTATTCTTCTGCAAGCCACCAGAAAGAAAAAGTTGCTTCTTTTCATAGGAGACAAGGTCAATCTACTCTATCAGTTGACTAAACCTGAATAATGTATAAACTGTTTTTCACAGCAGGCTTTGTCAGCTGAGCAGGTGATAAGAAACGCATATCCATAACGATGGCCAGCCAGAAAAGATAATCTACTATTTAGAAATATTTTTACTGTGATGTATTTGCTACCTCTGCTACAGTATCATCTGAATGAGTGGGCCTTTGCAGATAGAAACCTGACTCTATTATCTTTTTACTTCAGTTCTTTCTCTTTAACAGAGTGGGAGTTATGATGCAGGATATCCCTGACACTGAAGATTGAAGAACAGGGATTCTGCAGCAGGAAATATTTCTTGTGCTTGGTGGCTGGTATCAGAAATACCTGCATTCAGTGTCTACTTTTGTTAAGCCTGGGGAAGCGTGAATGGAGAAGTAACAGCTTTCATTAGGCCACCTAAAACAGTTGAAAAAATAGGTGAAGGTCTGGGCATGGGAGTCTTTCTGGAGGTTAGAAGACAAGACCCAATTTTGCTGATAACTGTTTTTGGGCCTGTGGAAGTCTTTGTGTGCCAAAAAGCTTCTCTGATTTCTCCAGCTGCATCGTTTCACTCAAAATGCTCTCATCTCTCCTTTCAAACCTTGCTTTAATATACCCTTAGGGTATCACGACACAACATTACTGCTAATTATATTAACTCACCTCATATAATGAGAATTAATGAGAATGCTGCCATACTGAGGACAGGTCAATAGTACAGCAAAGTACTAAAGGCGTTCTTAGCATTTCTCATCCTTTTTTGGTCGTTGTTATTTCTATTTAATTCATTAACTTCATCATAGGACATACATGGAACACAAACACATAAATCACTTTCTATTTCCAGTGATAAAGTTTTGTGCTTCTGGATCTATTCTAGGAGATGGATTCCATGTCAAATAGTCATCACTGTTTGTATATGTCTTTAGTTTGAAAAGTAAAGTGAAAATTGTACATTCTTCAGTCATGCTTGCTTCTCCAGATGTACCCTCCATCCAGAATTTGTTAATATCTGTTTCAAAGAGTTTCAACTTTGGAGATATATTAAAATATTTCAGATTTAATATATTAAAAGCATACTTAATATATAAAGATTTCTTTCTTCCTATTTTCTCTGCATTGCCCTAAAACGTAAATACAAGTTTAAACTTGTTGATTTTGTCAGAGATTTATTATCATAAAGCCCCCTCTACCTATGAAAGTGACTCTACCTATGAAAGTCTGCTACTACTGCATTTGCTTGTGCCCTGGTTATCTCTGTAGTTATCCCTCTAGGGCTGATGAGTTTAAGGTCAGCTGAAGGTAAAGTCCTTGAAGGTCATACAACTACAAGTCTGCTTTGAGGATTTGTTTAAATCTTCCCTGAAATTCCATTGTTATCCGTGGTCTTATCCCATGGCTTATGCATGGTCTAAGTGCTACCCTAAAAGGAATCATTTCACAAGTGTTGTGTAAATGAAAAACAACTAATTCCTGTCTGTATGAATGATAACAATGAATCAGAAATATACTTTAAATGCTTCAGGTCAGACTTGCTAACTCTCTGCTTAACAAGTTTCTCACAATGAGTCATTCATTTTTAGAAGAGGGAAGGCAATGTGACGTGACAAAATGATAAAAGAAGCTTGTTTCCACAGTCTGCAGGACTTACTCATTTTAGATGATTACCATATTTATAACTAAATTGATGAAAAGAATCTGAAAGAAGCGTGATCTTTCTGGAATATTTGTGGTGGAAGAGATGGGGCAACCAGTTGGAGGTTATGGCCAAAAATAAGGTTGAACCAGTTCCTCACGTCTTGCCTAGAAAGTTTTTACAAAAATGGTGCTGTTTTCTGTGGTTCTAATATCCATGCCTATGAAATCTTGAATTTCTTTCAGTGACAACTAGAAATTAAGATCCTTCACTTTGCTGATAAGTCAGGTGACATTATTTAAGCAGTGAGGTCAAAGAATTTACATTGGACATATTTGAAGTAAAATGTTGTTATCCATCACTTTTGGTATTGAGACACTTCTTCCTAAGCATATTATTAGAATGTTAAGATCACAATTTAATGCCATAATTTAGTTTTAAGAAGTAGAGTAAAATAAATTACTATTTTTTTCTCAGGTCAAAAGGAAACTGGGAAAAATATTATTAAATCTCTCTGAAAAACTTTAAGAAAAGTGATTTTCATTTTGTCTGTAGAAGAGCAAGTTACTCAGGCAGTTCTTGTAAGGGTGTGTATTGAGACATTTGTGGGAAATATGTTTTATGATTGTATCAGCCACGTATATGTAGGCTAAGCAGGATAAGACAGTCAGAAGTTACATCAGGTACTTCCAGGGTCTGAGCTCATACATCCTGGTCAAGAAACTTGTAAATGCCCTTGTTTCTTTCACAGCTTGTATTTCTGAGGGTCTCTGCCACACAAACCAAATGTCCTGCACAGGAGGAAGACAGAGCTCTTCTCAGAGCCTTGATGGAGTTAGAAGTTTCACATGGCAGTTTTACTCCAGAACTTGGCAAAAATTTTTGGTTTTCTATTTTTCACATAAAAAAAAAAAAAAGCACGTATTTTCTTAGTGTTATCACCTTTACCTCATTAGTTAGTAACATTTTAAATGGAAAACGGTATTATGACCAGCTTTAATTTGAGCTGCACCTAAAGTATTGCTCTCTCCTAAATATTTTACCTGCTACAAGAAGAACAAGTTGCAGTGCTCACTGAACAGGTTAAAAAAAAATAAAATAGAACAAATATTCTGCAACATAACAGTTCACCTGTAGTAACAAATAATAATAACAATAACACCAGAATGTATAAAATAGGGAACAAAAAACTAAGCACATGCGTTCTTCTGTGTGGAACGTTTCCTATTCTTCCCTTCATTGCTAGTACAGATACACAACTGTAAAGATGCAAAGAGTGCTTTAGTCATTGTCAGGACTATTAAAGAAATCTTCAGTGACTTGAAGTGAATCAACAGTTTCTTGAGAAGATATCAGCCTATGCAATACACTTATTTCTATTTAGTAAATGCTTGAATGATTTCTGAACCTAGAGAAATCCAAACATGATAAGGAGAACAGATGTTGCTGTGTCCAGTGCTCAAAGCTCTAATTGCCAGCTGGCATGCTTTTCTTAATCCACTGGAGATATTAAATTGCTAAACTGAAACATAGAGTTAATCTGAGCTCCAGGAATACCGGGTGTGTAGCTCATCACTCCTTGTAGATTGAAATGCCAATTGTAGGTGTTATTCCTCACTATCTGTGGAACACGACTAGTTTGAATGCTTGTTAATCAGAAAACACAAACCTAAATTCAGGAATGACTATATCTTTTTAAATATTGCTGCTGCAGACAGCTCTCAAGATTGTTGCCAGATGTAAAATCTCCTAGACATTAATGTCAGCAGCAGTCTTCCTTTTACAGTGAGGACAGAGGCTGCAGTTTTCTGGTCTACCAACAGTGTTGTACAAAAAAAATCTGTAAGCCAGCATCTCCAGCAGTTTGCTATGGGTGAAAAAATGGCATTTTTGAGTAGGAGTTCTGAAAAAAAAATAAATCTTATTACTGTTACAAATTACAGGATACAAGCAAAATCCAGCAATCTTTCTCAGATTAAAAGATCTATGTCACA